TCACGCCGAAACTAAAATCGAGCAGAACTGAAAGCACTGAAATCCAGAAAATCAGAAAAAAAAAATGAAAATGTCACAAAGTTTAAGAAATCCAAGATTTAGTAAAGCTTGTAAAAAACGAATTATGTGGGATGCAGCCAAGGAATTATTTTAACTGATATCCCATCTCTGACCGAAAAATTTTGTGTTATTAAAGTAAATAGCTCCACGTAACACGTAACTAGTAGGAGTATTGCTGACATAGTGCAAAAATGCGTATTCATTTTTGCATGAAGTTGTTTTTGTTAGCGAAATTGTTTTACGGTACGCCTAGAGGCACGAAAAGCTCATTTGCAATGGTCGTCTATTTCTAGCTCTTTGTTGTTCACGACTTGATTGAAAACGTATACGACTTGATGGATTGAAACGTTTCTATTTGTTTGACATATATATTTTTGTAAATACTAAAGGATAAAGAGAAAATGAAAAAAATAAAAGGAAGAAAAACTTAGAAAAAATGAAGGGAAGAAAAACTTTGTGTTTTATATCATCACCAACTATGTATTTTTGTTTTATTTCAAATATATGTTTCATATTCTTGTTTCTCTTCAAACACATATTTTTGTGTTTTATATCATCACTACTGCCTCTTAAAAGCTTGACTGGTCGCATTCTGAAGATAGAAGTTGCAGCATCAACAAAGTACGATAAGTGCTAAGAGGCTTGAACTGATTTAGAAGGCGCAACTTACTTTGATGTAAACGTTCCCGAGCATGTGCTCGCCCGAGTTATCGCAAACGTTCATTGCTTCAATTGCACCATATTTTTCGTCTATTTCCAGATAAACTTCACGGAAAAACTCATCAAATTCACTCTGTGACTCCTCTTTTGACTGATCTTAAAGAACGCCCTGCTATTTATTTTGACAAAATTTAGGGACAAACGCTTGCTGGTTCGTCCATTTGATAGATATTTTCACTTTCATACTAAAATAGCCAGACTGTTGATGTCGCGTAGTGAAAAAATTCAATGCGTCACTCATTTGCTATGTTGGTCAATTATGATTTATTTTTTTAATTACGATTATTTTATTTTAAAAGTCGTGCCCTTCACCTCCTTTTTCCCCCCTCTCCTTTCCTTCTCTCCTTTCCAGATCCCTTTTTATACTTCTGCGTAGGCACGACTTTTTTTCCTCCTGCTTCTCTTCCTTCCATTTTTTTAAACATTCGTGCTTTAAACAATTTTAATTTCTAAATGCCACTATCGCACAGATGGGGACAAGTAATGGCGCTGAATAGGAATTTATTCGACTTAATGGAGTCCTGCGCACTGATAAATTTTTATATTCTATATACATCGTTACTGTAATCTTCGGCTCACTTCGAGGATTCAGCTTTTTTGGAAGAAAAAACAAGACCTTTACGACCCGTTCATTCGTTTTGATGGTAAACTGTGCCGGAATATACCAGGGAGACAAACCGGCGTCATTATTTTTTTATAATAAATGCCTTGTTCATAATAAAAAGTGAAATAAGAGGGACGGCAATGATAGGCTTGCAAGAAAATGGTTTCTGTTGGTTTTCGCTGCCACTAAGGCTATTCACTGACTGTCTTTGTCTCCATGGAGAGTAAATACGAATGAAATTAGATTTGACGCATATGCATAGGTGTTCAACATACACTCCAAATATTTCACTTTTTGCCTGAATAAATAGCAATGAAAAAAGCTGTTTAAAAATTACCTGGATGGAAAATGCCACGAGAACGGTAGAAATTCTTCAGCAAAATTGTCTGAAATTTCATCCTTTTTTAACAATTTTCAGCTACAGAGGAGCTCTCAAACCTTTTTCCTTACTTCGGGTCCAGTGTTCTGATGCTTTATTCTAATATTACTTTTCCGTTAACATTAAAACCCTCAATCTCTGTAGAAAAAATGGCGCAAAACCGGGATTA